ACTCAAGCCTGGACTACAAAGCAAGACCCTGTCTCAAAATGTAATAAACAAATAAATAAAAATAAAAGTATTTTTCCACTAACTAACTCGAACATTGGAACTGCATAAAGAACCAGACTCAAACCAAATTGATAACTTCTCAGTGAAAGAAAGTGAGTTGTTCTTAGTTTCATTAGTGAGTCTACTTTGAAGCAGATACTTCCCATTGCTCTCATTTCAGATCACTGGATCCTGCTTAATGAAAGCATTTCTTAAAATCACAAGCCAAATTGTTTGGGTATTTTTGTTTCTTTTTAACTCTGATCATTTGTAGCTATTAATCTGGGTCAATGAAGAATATTTTGATACTCCACAACTGATATTCAACTACTTCGTTTTTTTTTTCTCATAGCAATGATTTGGTACATTGTACTATGTATTATTAGTTACTTTTTATTTGGTCATGTGGATCTTTTACTAGCTGAAATATATTACATTTAGGGATAGGAACAAAATAGTATCTTTATGAGTATACATTGGAAACCTATGATACCTGAACATGTTGAAGTCCTTTTGCTACATTGGGAGAAGCCAGTGGAGGGCAAACCCAATATACTAAGAATAGCAGAGTAAAGAAAGTGATAGAACCTGGGTCTTTGGTAACATTTCTGGAAAAAAAAAAAACAACTGATCATACATTCCTGATGAGGCCCTTGGATATTCAGATTCATGTCATCTATTTCTATAGCGTTTAGGACAGTTTGAATACGGATTTTCTGTTAGAATTGAAATCATCTAAATATGAATACAGTATTATTATTCCGTTACAAGAAACCTGAAGCTTGCAAAGAATAAGTTGCCCAAGGTTACACAGTCAAGGAAGTATCATAGTGGAGACAGGAAGTGGAGTCTTTCTGACTACATTTAGGCTCACTCCACCCCTCACCTCCAAATACACATGATTACCCATTTAACAGCACTATTACCTATTCTTGTTATTAGTATCAACCTTTTCTTACGATGGCATTCTTTTTTGTTTCCTTGCCTTTTTTTCTCAGAGGAAGAAGTGTCTCGCCTCCTCCCTATAGCTAGGCTATCCTTGCCTCACCCCGTATGTTCTTGCTCATATCTTTCTTCCTTCTTTGGGACTTTGTCCTACCCATCATTCCAGCTCTTGAATTGTCTATTTCTTTTTACTCCAGCATCTAAATAAATTCATGTCAAGCATAATCCATGCCCACACTCTTTCTCTTGATCCTGATAACTTTTTAAGCTACTCTTTCTCTTATTACATTTAGCAAGAGACTTATAGAAAATGCAGCCCATGTTTGACATTTTCACTAATTTCATTTTAATTGAATTTGCTCTCTTAAAAGTCTCTGAGGGGAAGAGGCATTGCAACTCTCCCTATCCAAAGGTGGAGGAGATGATATCATGATGTGTCACAGGCTCTATCCTGGTTGGGTCATGTTTACTAGTGGGTAGGGTCAGTGTATGTTAAAAGGTCATCCATGCCTCATGCGTTCTTGTGCTCCCTGCTCCCTGTCTCTCTGTAGTAGCAGATCTAGACAGGGCATTAGCCATTGGGGTATGCTGATCATCTTTTCTTATTTCCCTTCATTCTTTCCTCCTTCCTTTCATCTTTTTTCTCCACCTCCTTACAGCAAGTCAAAGAAAGGCAAGTTCTTACAGAAAGTATTAAACACTTAAGTACCTCTTATACCTCATAACTAAGTCATAGGACCCATACTTAACCTTTGTACTTATTAATAATATAATATTTTTATTCTGATGCTGCTGTTGCTTATTATACATACAGAGAGGAGGAATAATCAAAAGGATGGGATTCTGGCATTATTAGGTTTTGTGGATACAATACCTTCAAAATAACATTCTGATTCTCAGCAGTCACCATTCATTGACTTTCTCTCCATTTTTTTTTTAGACAGTCTCTCTGTTGCCCAGGCTGTAGTGTGGTGGCGCAATCTCAGCTCACTGCAACCTCCACCTCCTTGGTTCAAATGATTCTCCTACCTCAGCCTCCCAAGTAGCTGGGGTTACAGGTGCACACCACCAGGCCTGGCTGATTTATATATTTTTAGTACAGATGGGGTTTCACAATGTCATCTCCTCACCTCAGATGATCCACTCACCTCAGCCTTCCAATGTGCTGGTATTACAGGCATAAACTACCGCATCCAGCTTTTCATTGACTTTCTATAATAAAATTCAAAGATTTCCCATGAGTTTTCATTCTCTTTCATCTCTCTGTAATATAATTGATTCTATTAGCCAGTTCTTCCTTCTTGAAATGGTTTACTTGGCTTTTATACCATGTTAACTTACTAATTACTAATGGCAACTCAAATATGTTGGCTTTATTGCCAGCATTTGTTTGCCTGACTTCTGGCAAAATAGTACATCAGATTTGTTATGGGAACACCTCCTATAGTCTCAGCCCATGTGATTTACCTTCACTCAAAGCTCATGATGTGGGTGTTGATTGGCCCCAGTCTGATCATCAAACTAATCTCCCAGCCACAGTAACTGGGTCAGGAATGGGACCACAATTGACAAATCCAATTAGATATGATAAAAAGTTTGCTAGGGCTTTGGAGAAAGAGGTTCTTCCTATTCTTTCATATTCTCTGGTGAAAGGGATCTGTTCTGATGGAAAAGATGATTGAGAAGGGACTTTTGAGTTTTCCTTATAGATTGCTTTGGAACATATTCCTGGAGGTTGCAAAGCAAATGTCCTCAAAACTGGAACTATAGAACTCACTGCAAACCACTAATGACTCTTCTAATTAAATTTGCCCTGAAATAGCAATTAATTTTATATAAGAAATACCTTTTAACACTTATTCTGCTAGTCAATGAGTAGTTGCTGCACCATTATCTCCTCTTCAAATGAGAATAAAAGTAAAGCACAGCTAATCTGAACGTTTCTGGAAAGTTCTACAGTAAAACAGTGGCGATGTTGATACTCATTTCTTTTGATTCTCAGCCCATGGGCTTTCCAGTTCATCATAATCCACAGCTGGGGCAGACTTCGGGGAACTACATATTAGATTCACACGCCGGCGGTAAGTTGAACTGGGCTCCCTCTTAAGGCTGAGAAGAATTCTGTTTAACTCTCCGATGCCTTTTTTTCACATTACATTTCTTTTCAAATGTAACCTGATCACAGCTAAATAAATGCCCTAATATGGAACAGAACTTTTTAAAGTAGTTTCTTGTTCTATGACCCCAAAGCTGAATTTCAAGCAAGGGATGCTCGGGAACCAAGGTGTTCACTACACCAGCTGGGACAAAAAGTAGCTTGTTTCACCTCAGCAAGAGGGAACTGTGAAAGTACCAGCTGCTTCTCATTTGCGGAGCCCTTCTCTTCAGAAGCAGTGGGAATTGGCTCACCACCAGGGGGCGCAGTTTTACTATACCGTATTATGCCGCTGAAAAGGCGCGCTCTCACCTGCAATATTGTCTGAGGTCTGAATATTAAAGACTTCATTGCTGCAGATATAAAGTCTCTCTCTGTTTAACTGATCCCTGGGAATGACGGTAGAGCCTTGCTTTAAAGCCAGTTAAGCCCTCTGCGTTCGTTAATTTATTTTTCCTTGTTGCTGGCAAGGAAAGTGCTATATTATGGAGATAATCGTGACTGATAATAAAAATGAAAGCAGTTTTGACAAATTCTAATATAAGTTTTTAATGAAATAGGGATGACAAGATCCTTTTGTCTAAAAGGAAAAAAGATTTAGACTGCACAGAAAATAGGCCCCAGCTAAGAAAACTTTTGCTCAAACAGGGTAAATAAAAGAGGAGTGGAATTGTAGGAACAGAATCCTGTGATGCTTGATTTTTTGACCTCAGCCTGAAGAAGGAAAGCAAATCAGAGGGGCAAAACATCTTTAGTAGTCCCAGCTGCTCGGGAGTCTGAGGCAGGAGAATCGCTTGAACCTGGGAGGCAGAGGCTGCAGCGAGCCGAAATAGCACCACTGCACTACAGCCTAAGAGACAGAGCAAGACTGTGTCAAAAACAAAAACAAAATTTAGCCCCTGATGCAGAACTATATAATTTACAAAACATTTAAATCAAAGGGGGAAAAATACCCGAGAAACCCAAATGAACCAATTGCCAATTCACTCAACAGTTTAAAAATTTGGTTGCAAATAATGTCTTTGTTTCAAGTAAATGAGACAGTTAAAATAGTGCCTCATCGAGGGCAACAGTGAGGATTCTCAGAGCAGAAGATATCCTACCTTTTGGTTAGCATGTGGGGGCAGAGAGGTAGAGACTGCCTACTGAATCACAAATCAGGGTCTTGGGTTTTCTTTCTATTACTGGGAATTACCTCTTTCATGGGTGGAATGCATATATGTGAATTTCTTTTTACCAGTCAGGGATCCATGAAAGGAGATTTGGGATTCACTCCAAAAGATATGTTATCTCTTTCCTCAAAGAATCAAATGTACTATTCCTTTAAAATAAGCATAAATTGAGGAGGGATGGCGATGAGAGTGGAAACTAGCTATACAAATGAGGGAATGCAGTCCTGAATTGTTCCAGAACAAACACATTTAATGCCAAGGAAGCAGACCCTGCTGGGTAATGTCACAATGCTATAAAAGGAAGGGTACTTCGTAGGTGTTATTCTAGGATATTTTTTCCAGCCCTTTTCCAGCCTTATCTCCAGGTTGCTGGAAGGAGAGTTAGGCTGGTTTAGGGGCTCTCTCCCTACCCTCCCAAACCTACAGCGCAAACATTTTGGGTGGCTTCCTCAGTTTGGAAGCCTGTTACTTGGCATCTCCACATTGGCTTGTTCCACCGCTGCAGCTCCGAAGGCAGGAATAATTCCATACAGTTGCCAGAGCCCTTAAAGAAGGAGCCTAGGTCAGAGGTCGCACCCACCGGGAGGGCGGGGTTTAGGGGTCAGGGGCGGGCTGAACCTAGCCTCGCCCATGGAGAGGGCGGGGAGCTTCCTGGGCACCGCCCACCGGCCCGGGGTTGCACGTGACCTGCGGCCCCGCCTCCCGCCCACTCCGCAGCGCCAGCTCGGCAGGCGCGGGGCGTGAGTGTGGAGTGAGACCCGCCGGGCTCCAACTCCGCAGTGCCGGAGCGCGGCGGGCAGCAACTTTCTCCCCGCAGCGGCCGTGGCGGCCGCTGCTGCTGTGGCAGCCGTAGCGGAAGCCGGGAGAAAGAAGGCGGCGGCGGTTGTTCCCGCCGACTCGGGCTGTCCAGCTCTCAGAGACCGCCGGCCCGCGGAGCTGCGTTCCCCCGGGCAGCCCCGGGCCCCTGCCCTATGTCCCGCAAGGCGAGCGAGAATGTGGAGTACACGCTGCGGAGCCTGAGCAGCCTCATGGGCGAGCGGCGCAGGAAGCAGCAGGAGCCGGACGCGGCGAGCGCGGCCGGGGAGTGCAGCCTCCTGGCGGCCGCCGAGTCAAGCACCAGCCTGCAGAGCGCGGGCGCGGGCGGCGGCGGCGGCGTCGGGGACCTGGAGCGGGCGGCGCGGCGGCAGTTCCAGCAGGACGAGACCCCCGCCTTCGTGTACGTGGTGGCCGTCTTCTCCGCGCTCGGCGGCTTCCTGTTTGGCTATGACACCGGGGTGGTGTCGGGGGCCATGCTGCTGCTCAAGCGGCAGCTCAGCCTGGACGCGCTGTGGCAGGAGCTGCTGGTGTCCAGCACGGTGGGGGCGGCCGCCGTCTCGGCGCTGGCCGGAGGAGCCCTCAACGGCGTCTTCGGCCGCCGCGCTGCCATCCTCCTGGCCAGTGCCCTCTTCACCGCCGGCTCCGCAGTGCTGGCCGCGGCCAACAACAAGGAGACGCTACTCGCCGGCCGCCTGGTCGTGGGGCTCGGCATCGGTGAGTTCGGGCTCCGCGAGTGTCACCGCCCTTGACCGTGGGCGTTTCGTGTCTCTTGCCCATCGGGGTCCCCGTCGGATCTCGCCGGGTCAGAAGATCCTCTACTTCTCTGACCTCCCGAGCCCATCTGTTTGTTGGCCCAGCCTGCAAGGCTCTCCGGGAAGATGGGGACATGGTCGCGGGGGGGAGGGGGGGTCACTGTAGTCTCCCTCGAGTCCACGTGGAATCTTTGATCGCCCACGGACCAGTCAGTCCGAGTGGTTGTTGCCTCTCAGCGCTTCCAGGAAGCCAGCTGAGTATCAGCTTTTTCCTTGATCCAGCCTAACCTGATGCTGAGTCTTGAGCTTACGAGGGTCTCTGCTTTCCTGCACTGTCCCACCTTGTCTCTCCACTGCTAGTCCCTTTCCTTTTCTAGAGCTCCCAGCCTGGAACCCAGTCAGTCGTTAAGTCCAGTGAGATATTTTAGAGTTAAGTAATTCTGGACTCTGAAAGGTTTATGAGCTACGCCTGTCCTCTTTCCTTCTCTAGCATTTGTCTTTAGATGGCATCTCCTTTTGCTTTTATGCTTTTTGTATTGCCTTTCAGTAAATTCCGTTTTCCTCTGTTTCTCCAACTTTTTCATTTGAATCCATTTTCATCCGTCCTCCTCTTTGTTTTGCCTCTCCTGCTTTCCAGTTGGGAACCAAATTATCTATTAAAGGTCATGCTCACTTCCTAAATTCATTTAGGAGCTACTCCCCCTGTGGATAAATGCCCAGCAAGATATATGTTTGGAATTTACTTAAAAAATGAAGCCATTAAGGTTCTCCAGGCATTGATTTTTTTTTCTTCACCCTGGTTGCTGAGCAAGGGAGGTACAATTGTCAAGTTTTTGGCAGAGGGAAGCTATTTGGAATGTGCTCAGTATTATTAGAAAGCACTTTTGAGGGAAAGTGGGGGGTTGTGACTTAAATCTCACACTAGTGAGATTTTTCTAAGGCACACCGCTGATGTGTTTTTAATGTTTCATTTCATAATTCAGTTTTTTGTTTCCCTTAGGGTGCTCTTGAAGTATTTCTTCCCTGTGGCTGGGGCTTGATGAAAGCACTTTAAACCTGGGGCTGCTGCTGATCTGTGTATTCACCACTTGTTTCATGTTTGTGCTTTTCTCCCTTCCTCTGTGGGTTCTGAAGGGAAGCAAAGGCCATATATTCACCTCCACATGTGGGAACCATGAGCTTAAAACCCAGTTCACAGCACTTTATATCCAAAGTTTGTCAGTAGTGACCTTGCTTTTGCTTGTTTATTGTACTGCTAATTAGCAAAGGTAGGGCAAGGCTTTCAGTAACCTATTAAGTTGGCACAAAAATGTCCAAAGTGATAAAAAAAAAAAAAATCCAGCTGCCATGAAACCTCTGTGTACGGAAGCTACCTGTGCCTGCAGGACCCTTCAACAAATAACCCGCTTTTAAAGTTCAGCGACCACAATTCTTTTCTCAGCATTGTCTGCTTGGAACATCTTTTTTGTTGCTCTGCAATAGAAATAACATCATTTTAGGCAGTAAGATTTGTTCTGTCAACCTGAATCTTTTTTGTAATTTTGAAATTGAATCATGCTGTGCAGAGCTCTCTAAATGAAGCTTTCTAGTGTTTTCAGGTATTTGGTAAAATTTTGGGTATTATGTTTACTCTTTTATCTGACCTGCAAATTGAGCCCCTGTTCTGTGTAAGGTCCCCGGCCAGATGTTTTGAGCAGAACAGTGAGGAGAATATATTATATTTCAGTAAACGTAGCAAGGTGGGACAAAGCAACAGTACTTGCTAAGCTATATAAGTGAGGTTCTCAGAGATGGCTGATGAATTCAGAGAGGGTACAGTTATCCCCAGCAGAGGGAAGCCAGAAGCTCTTACCGATGGAGATGGTGTGTTGACATGTCAGTATTTTAACAGAAACAAGGAAAGGGCCTTCTAAGCAAGGGATAAAATGAGTAAAGGAAGGAAAGCATAGGGCATACTTGGGGAATAGATGGAAGCAGCAATAGAGGAGATCAGATTGAAAGTGTTGATGTGCAAGAGCTGTGGAGGCCTCTGTCTTGCAGCCTCATTCTGTGGTTTCTGGGCTGGTTGGTTCAACAGAGAAGGCCAGTTTAGGTATCGTCTCCATTCAGTTCTGGTGTGGCCCATCTCACTTCCAGAAATATACCTCTCAGAATAGAAGCCCAGAGGCAATTTCATAAAAGCCCTTGTCATTTACAAAATAAAGAATGTTCTAAGATCATAAACAGACTTGGAAATAGGCCGCATTCAAAATAAAACAATATTTTAAAAAACTTCAAATTAGAATTAAAATTAGGATCTATGCAAAACATGTAATTACACACATAAAATCATTAAAACTCTCAAAGATTACTAGCCTTTCAAAAGAAATCACAAGTTTTTGTTTTTCTTTTCTTTTTTTGCTACAAGGACATGAGTTTCTAACATGAGTGTTTTTTGAGGAACATTAAATCAGTTTGCTTGGTTGGTACACTAAATCTGGGTTAATTTTATGCTATTTTTTTTAAGTAGTTAAATTTTATGTGTAGTCAGGGATTTATTGTTTTGTCTTTATGATATTTAGTAAATATTGTTGAATAACAAAATGTGGCTTCTGATAGCTTTTTCAGACAGGTTTGCTGTAAGAATGTCTTTCCTCCATACGTTTAACTGTGGTAAATATAAGGCCCATGTGGGTCAGGGATTCTGTTCATTTTGTTTGCCGATCTATTCCTGCCACATAGGAGATACTTGTTGAATAAATGAATGGTGAACAGAAATGAAAAAAAGAAGACCAACAAATTCCATTGTTGGTTGGGTAGTACTTTAAGTTAGGATTGCTCTTTTCAAAACACAAAAATAGTGCATTATCAAAGTATTTGAAAGGCCAGCTTAAGGTTTTGATTGTAATAGTTGAATGAAAACATTCAGTTATTCAACACTTGCTAATTAAGCTGCCATTATTGATTCTGTCAGATATGGGGTAGGCAGTAATTAGATAGATAAAAATCCCACCCTCAAGGTGTTCATTCTGTAACAGAGTAGAAAGATACATAAACAAGCAATTAAAATAGACATTTCTCTGTAGTGCTAGGTGCCACACAGAAGAGTGAGTGGTCCACCAGTTGATTCTTTTAGGGGAAAAAATAGAACACAGGATTGAGGAAGGTTCTACAGTGGGATATTCAGAGTAGGGTTTGAAGAGTGAGTGGGTGTTCAGTAGATGATGTAGATGAAGCCAGAAAAGTGCTTATTTAGTGCTTTAGTATGTGCCAGGCCTAGTGGTAGTACTTTACACGTAGTACCTCATTTAATCTTCCTGAGTCTGGGAAATGAGTTCCCTTTTGTGGGGTGTGGAAACAGTTAAATGGCAAGGTCACTGATTACAGAGACAGGATTAAAAAATATCTTGAGTCTTTTGCTCAATTACCCTCCTGGGCGTTTACGGTAGAGTTAATAGCTGGGGTAAAGGCACAGAAAAAGTAGTATTTGAAGCATAGGTGAGTGAGGGATGGTGATGGAGTGGTCATGAGACTGGAATGTTTTGGAGGCATTAGGCTGAATATGGTGTATTTGACCCTGCCTATGCAGGGAGAGCCTTTATATGTTTTTAACAGTAAATAATGTAATCAGATTAAAACATCCCTTGAATCTGATATAGGAGGGTGTTTTTCCCATTATGCTTTTAAGCTCTTTTACCTTCTGTCCTAAACCTTCTCACGTCTTATAAATTTTGGGAATTAGAAATCCTTTGCTGAAATGGCTACTGCAGGATGGGTAAAGCATACCACGTGACCATGAATTACTGACATTGGAGGAGTCAGTGGACCCTTCAGAAACCTTTGACAAAGGTGAAGAAAACAAGACGTAGAATGGGTATTAAATGAATGGTATAAAAGACGTTAAGTATCAGAAGTCAGGGTTATGTGACTTTGTCTTGATTTAAGTGTTCAGTTTTCTTGACTAGTTGTAACAAAATTACTGAGTGCCTGTTTTAAATAGGGCATTCCTTTGGTGTTTTTTTTTTTGGTTTACCAGAGGCACCTTTGGTTCTCCTAGTTTATTTTTCTCTTACACTTGAGTCCTGACACTAGACTTCTCCATTGTCTCTGCCTGCTACCATGATCACCTGAACGTTTTAAAGTTGAAAACTCACATTTCAAATAGGACATAAATTTTCCATCCCAGAAATGATTGTATCCTAATGGTTAATCTCATTTTGTAGGTTCTTTACACACAATCCCATTTGCAGGTGTTTAGCAGTATTATACTTATAATTAAGGTTTTTAAGTATGCTGAGTTACAACAGGATTGAAGAATATGAATTTGCTCCTTTACTTCATTTTCTGTGACCATGTATCTCCCATGCATAACGCACAATAAATTGTCTAGAAAAAACAGAGTACAAGAGCATAGTTATCACTGTTAGCATGTACACAGTCAGTGCAAAAGCATACCCATTAGCCGTTTCTTCCTGGTGTTGGTATTTATTCTACTGCTCCTTTTAGGTGGTGATTTAGGGCCTGTGGAGGGAATATCAAGAAGTCTCTAAATTTGATAGTCACCAGTATTCAAAACCTTTCCTGAGAATTGACACACTAGGTTATACAGCACTGGATTCATTGAATTAACCTTAGATTGACATCCGTTTCTCCTCTGTCAGCCTCTGTTTCAGGACTCCCTCTACTGGAACACAGTCTGTAACTGTGTATTGCAGCTTATAATTAGTATAGTATGGCCTGTTGAGGAATACTTTCAAAAATACCACATTTTTTTCAAACAGCACTTTGAATTCTTCCTCATTGCAAATGAAATGTAAAATCTTGTTTGATTAAAAAAAATGCAATTTTGAGATCAGTGTCAACAAATAATTTCATTTAAGGTAAGCATAGTTGGGCAGAAGCTACTAATTTTCTAATACTTAATCAGCTAATATACAGTTTTGGGGGAGGTGATTCAATTTGTTTTTTTCCACTGCGCCTCCG